CCTGAGGACGTCCACTCCGTGGGGGTGGGGGTGGCATGGTGTCGGCTGCTGAAGCCAGATCAGCGTGAGAAAGGGGTCCCCACAGAGGTGGGGTGGCAATGGAGACAGGAGACTGGTCACACATGTGGATCACGTGAAGGGTAACGGAGGTCCGGCTTCTCACAGCCGGAAAGGGAGTTGTTAATACAGAAACAGGGGGAGGAGGAGCCCTGTGGTGCTGGCCTGGAGCTGGGGGCACCGATGTGTCATCACAGATTTCACAGCCATCGCTGGGCATAGGGAACTTGACTGTGAATCCTCCAGCTCTCTCAGAGGGGGAGCAGCGACACCTGATGTTGGTGAGCACCTCTCACATCCAGCTCTTTTTTTTAATATATTTTATTGATTTTTTTACAGAGAGGAAGGGAGAAGGATAGAGAGTTAGAAACATCGATGAGAGAGAAACATTGATCAGCTGCCTCTTGCGCATCCCCTACTGGGGATGTGCCCGAAACCAAGGTACATGCCCTTGACCGGAATCGAACCTGGGACCCTTCAGTCCGCAGGCCGACGCTCTACCCACTGAGCCAAACCGGTTAGGGCGGGAAGGGCTGGCTACTTCTCGATCAGACTGAAGGCCAGGCAGGTGCCGGGGGCTGGGGCTATTAGGGTGAGCGAGACGCATACAGCCACTGCTGGCCCCCCGTGGTCAGGTCCAGGGGGCTGTGTGAGGGCTGAGGCCAGGCCTGGCCGCAGGGGTGCGAGGCAGAGCTGGGTCTCACGTCACTGTACTTCCCGTCTCCCACAGAAGGAGGTCCGTCCCTGAGAGGTGTGGGCCCAGAGCCAGACTGGAGTCAGACCCTGGAGCCCGCTCTCCCGGCTACGGCCCTGGGCGAGCCCCTTCCCTCCTCTGTGCGTCCCTGTCCTCTGGGACAGTGGCCCCCTGGTTAGGTGGCTGGGAGGTTAAGTGAGTTTATAACGTTGAGACTGCCACTGTCCAATGCAATAGCCACTAACCACATGAGGCTACTTAAGTGAAATTTAATTAAAAAGAAATAGCGCCCAGCCAGTGTGGCTCAGTGGTTGAGCACTGACCCAGGAACAAAAAGATCACCAGTTCGATTCCTGGTCAGGGCACATGCCTTGATTTCAGGCTCAATCCCCAGTAGGGGGCATGCAGAAGGCAGCCTATTGATGCTTCTCTCATTGATGATTCTCTCTATCCCTCTCCCTTCTTCTCTCTAAAAATCAATAAAAACATCCTATATAATAAAAGGCTACTATGGCAAATAGACCGAATGGCAGAACGACTGGTCACTATTACACCCACTGACCACCAGGGTCAGATGCTCAACACAGGAGCTGTCCCCTGGTGGTCAGTGCACTCCCACAGGGGGAGCACAGCTCAGCCAGAAGCCGGGCTCATGGCTGGTGAGCGCAGCGGCAGTGGTGGGAGCCTCTCCTGCCTCCGTGGCAGCACTAAGGATGTTGGACATCCCCCAACGGCTCTTGGACTGCAAGAGGGTGCAGGCCCAGCTGAGGGACCCCCACCCTCACCCCCCCCACCCCCAGTGCACAAATTTTGTGCACTGGGCCTCTAGTATTTTAATAAAGTAAAATAAACATATGTCCCCAATTGCACCAGCCACATTTCAAGTGCTCGCTGGCTGGCCGGTGGCTGTCACACTGCACAGCGGGTGGAAGATGTTTCTGTCGCTGCCAAGTTCTGCTGGGAGGCGCTGCTTCAGACAGCCCCTGGCACACTGGCACGCGCCCTCCAGGTGTGAGCTATCAGAGCACCCCCAGAGCCCGGCAAGACCTGGACACGGAGCTGGGGGTTAATAATTATTTATTTTTTTAAAAATGACTAAATCCCACTTTAAACCACACCCTCACACACACTGCACACCAGATCTGCTCATTAACGCCAGAGGCGCTGGCCCCGCCCCGCCCCGTCCGTCGGGCAGGGCCTAGTAGAAACATTCCGGGTCCGGGTCCGAGTCTTGGTCTGTGTCCTCCTGGTTCTGAATCTGACTCTGCCTCTTGTACAGCCAGGCCACCTGAGGAGACAGGGCAGGCGGGGTCGGAGCCAGGGCTGCCCCCCACCCCTCGCCCCTGCAGGTCGGCGCCCACCTCTCCAAGAAGCACACCCCTCTGAGGGCCTCACCTGGGCACTGGTGGTGGCCTGCTCCGGCGTCTTGTCTTCACGGACGCGAACAAACCGAGGGAAGCGAAGGGAGATCCCCTTCTCACTGTCCACCTGGGGGGCGGGGTGATGATGGGAACCTTCTGTGGCCCAGCCTCGGTCCTCGCTAACAATTCCCTACCCACGTCTCCTCCCCGCTCCTGCACCTCTGGCCTCGGTCTCCTCACCCATACAATGGGGCTAAGCAATGGGCTACGGGTTAAATACGGTGATGAGCCCTTGGGACCGTCCTGGCGTGTGGCAGCGCTTAAGAAACGCCAGCTGTGCCCTGGCCGGTGTGGCTCAGTGGACAGAGCGTCAGCCTGCGGACTAAGGGTCCCGGGTTCGATTCCGGTCGGGGGCACGTGCCCGGGCTGTGGGCTCGATCCCCATTGGGGGGGCGTGCAGGAGGCAGCCAATCAATGATTCTCTCTCATCGTTGATGTTTCTCCCTCTCTCTCTCTCCCTCCCTTTACCTTCTTCTCTGAAATCAACAAAAATATATTTAAAAAAAGGAACGCCAGCTGTGCCAGCTGTCTTTTAGGCGGTTGGCATTATCAGGGCCAGGACGGGGAGCAGTGGCATCAGGGTGTGGATTCTGGAACCAGACTGTGGGGTCGAATCCCAGCTCCCAATGCCCAGGAGCCGTGAGACCCGGCGCCAGTCCCTCAGCTCCCGGCTCTGCTTCCCACCTGCAGGCTGGGCTGCTCAGTGTCCTGAGGACTAAATACGTGCACACGGGTGCCCTGCTGCTGGCACAGCGCCCGCTGCCCAGGCTGCTCCCAACACTGGGTCCCGGGACCCTGACCTCATGAGTGAGAAGAAATGCGATCCCAAACACAGGCTCCGCCTCTGAACGGAGCCCGCTTCTAATCAGAAAAGCGGCTGCTAGATGGACAGATCCGAAGAAACCTCAAAGGAGGCACACTTAAATGCGAGACCCCTTCTCCTGCAGGAGGCGAGGCGGCAAGCTCAGAGCCCGCGCTGGGCACCGGCAGCGCCTCCGCGGCCCCGGCCCTCCAGCGCATGGCGAGGCCTGAACCACCAGTGAGAGAAGGGACTGGACAACTAGGTGGTATGGGAATTCATACAGTTAAGAAATGTATGCCCTGGCCGGTTTGGCTCAGTGGATAGAGCGTCGGCCTGTGGACTGAAGGGTCCCGGGTTCGATTCCAGTCAAGGGCATGTACCTTGGTTGCGGTCACATCCCCAGTTGGGGGTGTGCAGGGGGCAGCTGATCGGTGTTTCTCTCTCATCAATGTTTCTGACTCTCTATCCCAGTCCCTTCCTCTCTGTGAATAATCAATAAAATATATTTTAAAAAAAGAAAGAAAGAAATGTAACAGGATGTGTCATAAGCTTTTACTTAAAAGAACTGTGTTTTCAAAAATTACGTAAGAGCTGAGTGTGAAACAGCAATTTCACTGTTTTCTTTCTACCCCTGGGGCATTTCTCTAAAAACAAAAAAAAAAAATGAGACTTTTGACCCTGTTATCTGACTCCCAAATAAAATGCAAGCTCGCGGTTTCCCAGTCACCCCCCAGGAAGGGCGGCCGTCCGCAGGGCCGCCCCCCTCTCCCGTCTGGAATTCCTTTGGCGCGTCTCCCCCAGGCGCAGTCACTCACCAGGCCGCGGGCGGCGGGGTAGATGGGCGAGAGGGAGAGGTCCGCGCACCTGACCTCCCACACGGCGCTGGGCTCCAGCCAGTGGTCCGGGGCCACGGCGCCGTCTGCCCGGACGTAGGAGCGAGGGGTGGGCAGCACCCGGGCCTGCGGGGAGCAGCAGGAGGTGGAAGAGGGGGTCTCGGGTCTCAGAGTCAAGATGGAGGGTTGGGGGGTCGGGAAGTGAGGTAAACGGGGGAAGACAGAGACACAGACACTCCTTAAGGTACAGACCCAGGAGTGGTGGGTGGGGAGAAATGGGAGAAGGAATAAACGAAAGACAGAGACCCTGGGAGCTGAGACGAGAAATTAAGACTGACAGAGGTAGAGAGAGGGGCAGAGACCCCGAGAGGTGGAGACAGAGAGAGAGAGAGAGAGAGAGAGAGAGAGAGAGAGAGAGAGAGAACGAACCAAAGAATGGACAGGAACCAAATCACAGATACCAACACAAAAGACAGTCACACCCAAAACACCTGTGACCCTGACCACAAACACCCCCACTTAGCGGCTCAGCCAGCACCCTAAGGATCGACTTGGGGAACCCCGCAAGAGCGCCGTCCCCCGAGACTGCCCCCCTGCTGCGGCCGAGGCCCTGAGCTCGGGAGATGGGGCCCCTGACTGGCGGGCAGCACTGGCTAGTGGCCGGCACAGCTGGGACTTGCACCCCCAAAGCCGGCTGCACTGCCCCCTGCTTGTGGCACCCGGAGCCCGAGCTCACCAGAGCCAAGAGCACACGGCAGAGGCGCAGGCCGGCCCGCTCACCTGCAGGGTCTGGTGATACTCCTCCAGCTCCTCGTCGCTGAAGCCGGTTCCCAGCTGCGGAAGGAGGGGGCAGGTCAGCGGCCGGCACTGCCTCCCTGCTCCGCTGAGGCCCCGAATCCGCACACCAGCCCCCAGCCTAACCAGCACCCACAGAAACCAGAGGGTGCTGAGCATCCAGCCAACCCCTCGCAGACCTGGGGTGGAGACAAATCTCGGGGTCCCTGCTCCTTCTGCTCTGTCTCACTCCCTTGGGCCCCTGACATCCCACCTGCCCCGTAACTGGTGTCATGTCCAATCGGAACACTGCCAAGAGCTTTCTTCCACCCACCCAGACAGTCAAGGCTAAAAAATACCCCTTGATGCGGGCAAAATAGCAAGATGGACAACTTCAAACCACTGATCTAAAATGTCAACAGAAAGCCCTTTGAACTGAGAGCCAGGACGGTGTGGCTCAGTGGTTGAGCATTGACCTATGAACCAGGAGGTCATGGTTTGATTCCTGGTCAGGGCACATGCCCGGGTTGTAGGCTCGATCCCCAGTAGGGGGCGTGCAGGAGGCAGCCAGTCAAGGATTCTCTCATCACTGATGTTTCTATCTCTCGCTCCTTCTCCCTTCCTCTCTGAAATCAATAAAAATATATTTAACATTTTTTTAAATAAAAATAAATTTTTTTCTCACTTTTGTCCCAGCAGTAGCTCTTGCAGAAAACTATTCTAATAAATTATGTAAAATGGTGACATATTGGCAGCCACAGATACTTGTGAATTGTAAAGTCTCTTCTGTCTCAGACTCTGAGTTAACGCACGCGCAGCGCTGACTTATGAGAACGGGTGGCAATGCAACAGCTACCCCCAACCGCAGGCGCTGGTTCGGGAAACCGGGCCCGGCTGCGGCTAAACTATCAGGGCCGCAGTCCCATCATGCGCGTGTGAGGTGCTGAATGGCCTGGAGAAACCCCCTCACTTTCCATCTCGGACTCAGGCAGGGATAGCACTGAAACACAGTACTTCTAGGGCAGTGGTTCTCAACCTTCCTAATGCCGAGACCCTTTAATACAGCTCCTCATGTTGTGGTGACCCCCAATTTCATTGTTACAAATTGAACATAATTAAGGCATAGTGATTAATCACAAAAACAATATGTAATTATATATGTGTTTTCCGATGGTCTTAGGCGACCCCTGTGAAAGGGTCGTTCAACCGCCAAAGGGGTCGCGACCCACAGGTTGAGAACCGCTGCTCTAGGGCAAAAAGCAGTAAAGAGAACTACTCGTGGAGAAGGATCACAATTCTGTAAAGATCAAGTGTTCCCTCCAGGTACTGGGGTTGTAGGTGATAGCTTACTCTTTCTGTGCCAATGTGTGCAGCTTTAAACTAAGGAAAAAAGAAACGACGTTTCCCAGGATCCCTTGCAGAGGGGCTAGGCCAGGAGCAGAGCTCTGACCGATGCACCTTCCGCAGAAGTTGCTCACTGGCTGAGGCTGACTCAGGAGGCCCATCTCCCTCCTGCAGCCACGCTGTGAAGCAGAGGCTGAAGCACACGGCAAACCCACTGCAGGGAGAGCAGCAGCCTGCGTCCCTCATGACACCGGCGAGCGGCCTGCCCCTTCCAGACTTCCCATTACACGAGAGAAAAAGAAACCCTTCTCTCTCTTAGGCCTCATTGTCCGACTCCGTTCCTAACCCACACGGCTTCCTCGCATCTTTCTATACTCGCCCGTTTTTCTACATGAAGCCAGTGACTTTATAGGAACAGAAAAAGTAAATAAAAACTAGGGAAACAGAGAGGTGAGAGCCCCGATCCGGCCCCCGGCCGAGTGGAGCCCACCCCCTGCGCCTGCCCAGCCCCGCCCCGCACCTTGCAGATGGCCTGCAGCTCCTCGCTCTCCTCGTCGTAGGCGGCCAGCAGGAAGCCCCCGTAGCGGCCGGCCCGCTTCCCCCGGCCCAGGTAGGCGCCGATCACCACGAGATCCAGGGTGTCCCCCACGCCGTCCAGGTAGTCCTTCTTCAGCTGGGAGGAGGGAGGGCAGGCGGTGAGGGGAGAATCACGGAAGGGGTGGGTTGGGAGAGACTGGAGAGGAGTTTCCGTAAAGAAGACCGAGGGTGGCCGCTGAGAATGGACACGGAACAGGCATCTAGGCTGAAAGAGGCGGTGCCATGGGAGGAGCAGGTGCGATGGGGGGGAGACAGGCCGGACGGGAAGACCTGGGGTCATGCTGGATCCCCTTTCCCTCAGACGGAGACAGGTTCCACTCACTCCTTCACACAGAGAACACTTATCCAACTGTGAGCCGAGCAGGAGCTCAGCGGGAAGGTGGGGATCCAGGGCTCAGGGGAGGGTGGGGGGTCCCGAGCTCAGGGGGAGGGTTGGGGGGTCC